ATAAATAGGAAAGAAACAGTTTTTAGTAATTACAATCTTCAAATGAAAAGATCCTTATACGAGACTTCAAAAAAGTAGGACATCACTCGCATTTAAAAATTAGGGATCTTTATTAATGCATTAGAGGTAGTATTCACTCACCATGTGATTCTGAACCAGGAGTTAAACCAAAACCACCATCGTATGACTGCATGAACCAGACAGCAGTGCTTAACATGAGAAGCATCACCAGGAATCATAGCAAAAGAAAACGCTAGAGATATGAAAACTAAAATGATGTTCTATAACATGGACAGTTTATCATTAAAATCTGAGGAATGAAAAACTTATTTATCATTAGGGTGTAATTTATAATACTTAACCATTTCTAAGACTTTAATTCTGAAAAGTTAGGTTTTTCAGGTGGCAGCATTAGATGGCAATGAGAATGCACAAAAACTGAATAAAATCTAAACTTTCAAAATAAGGATGTGAATACTTAAATGTTATCTGTAAGATGAACATTTTTTTCCCTAATAAAGTTGCTGCCACGGACAACTTGCGCGCACCTCGACTATATAAACATAAATGCTTAACATGGGTGATGTTGGTAAATGGAATTAATTTGGATGTGCCAAATTGACCTATCATTAACTTATGTAAGTTCACTTTGGAGTGCTAACTATATCAAAGATACAAAATAAGATGTTTTGTGAAAACAGATGGTCATGCTCTGTATACCTGACAGTTTATAATGTACTCTTTGGCTTTCTCCTTGTCAATGCCACTCCAGTTTTCCAACATGGAAGAGATTGCAGCTGGTATGCAGGTCAGCGATAATCAATTTTCACTCTAATGTGTTTAAGTTCAATAAGCTCAATGGAAAGATATTATCTACCTGCACAATATACAAAGCGGAGGTCTGTCTCTGCCCCGCTATGAATGGGCATAAAGCTAGAAAATGAAAAAAACAGCAGTTAATATAAAAGAATCTAAATAGGCATAAACACACACCTCGTATATTCTGAGGTCAAGATTACGGCAGATTCATTTGCATGTCAAACTTTTTTAATGTATTGGGGATAAGGAAAGAGAAGTGGAAGAAACATTCATACAAATTTCACAGTGTACTGGAGCTTTATCAATATTTTTATTTAAAAGATGCATCTAAAGGTATAGCTCTCAAGAGATGTTGGCAGAATCAATGATATGCATATAAATATCTGTTTGTCCTAGCTTTCCATCAGAAATTGATTGATGTCTCCAAACATAAGGAGATGTACAATCGGCATATGAAAAGGTGTATATACCATGGATTAAGTATCTTCGGCCCTTTCTTTTTTTATTTTTTTAATCAGCAAGCCTTTGTTCTTTTCTTTTTTCCCCTTATTTTCCTCTCTATTCTTGTTTCTTTCAAGGAGGGATTGAGTGGAATTGTCACTGCCAGCACATTCAGGATCAGACCTCTCTTTAATAGCCATCCTTTATAACAACATTTTACTACAACAGCCAATTTTCTTTGAAACCGATTTTTCGTGTTATATTTTACCTCTCTATAATAGCACTTTACCTATAACACTAGCGGCTATCATCGTACACTCTTTGAAAAATTACCTCTCTATAATAGTGCTACTCAAATGTTAATTTACTTTTCCTTTCATTATAATGATGCTAATTCGTATATTTTACTAAATTTCCCACTTCCTTTCTAATAATTATTTTCATATTTAAAGCACTAGCTACAACTTTGGTGTCATAAATCAAATTACGGAAATGAAATATATGTAAGATATTCTGTAATAAAATTTTGTAATAGTAAGATATTTTATATAGAAATAAAATATACTATCTCAATCATTAGAGATCTAAAATACACATGTGCTCTAGAGAGTTCAATTCTTTGTAGATACAGTACAACTAATTATGGATTTACTAAAAATATATTAGCTTTTTAAAATTTTAATTAATGAAATATGAAATTTCTTTGAGATTTTAAATTCAAATATTTGTTTTCTTTTATGACATAAAAAATTTGGAAAATGACTTTTTGCGTGAGAATGCTATTATACCAAAAGTGGTCGTCTGTAAAGATTTTATACCATCTTCCTGATGTACGAGCTGTGAATAATATGGTCCCTATTTGTCTTGTTGATTTTTTTTCAACATGCTTTGGTGGATAAATTTACTAGTTACAGATTAAGAAAAGAATATGATACAAAATTAAGAACCAATGGGGTTGACTAGTTAAAGAGTACATCTACCATTCCACATTCTACTAGATCTGCCACGAGAGTAAGCCAAAGCAACGGAGTATAGACCCAAGGGTACTTTTTAAGTTCTAAAGAAACTTTGCTAGATATATAAACTAAGGCAGCAATTCAGATACGCAATGCATCATTGATCAAAGAATTACAATCCATAGAAAGAAAAGCCACAAAAAGTACCTCCCATCAGGTTGCTGAAGATTTTTCATTGATTTGAGGATTGATGTGGAATCCAGCAGTGAAAAGTCATAGCCAAGGGTCTTCAATATGGATAGCGCGCAGTAAGTACTTGCCAAATGACTGCCATTGGGGATTGCATCCTGTGTAGAAACCATAAGACAGGTGAATTTATAGGGATACGTTGTTCTAAATCAGCTTGTTTATCCACAACAGCAATTAACAATTAACAATAACCCGTTCTTGTACCCCATTTTCATTCGATTGAAATTGAGAACTCCTAGAACCATGGAACCCATAAAATTGTCCTGCACAAAACCAAAAGTCCCCAATAAATCCACTATCTCCAAGTTTAAGGACTGTTTGACTAATCAAAGTCACTTCTCTATATTAACTAAACCATACCATTGCTCAATTCAGCTTCATCTCGTGGATGAGCTTGCAGTGATAAAACCCAATTAATCACCCCTTCTTTGTCAACCTGGCATGGACAAAAACGTTACTTTGGCTAGCCAACTTTTATATGCATTCATAATTAGACAATTATATTGTTATAGATTTTGTCCACTTTTCAAGCATCTCCAAATGTGATTATGCCACAGTATATTTTAGTGTTACACAATCTTAAAAACAGCTGCCGAGCTAGGAATTTATACAAGGGGATTCAAAAAGACAATAGAATGCCACACTTGAATATGAACTTGTGAACTAAAACAACTTTTGAACCCCCTTTGCCATTTCACGGGACTTTTTCTTTACACCTAGGGGATTCAACATTTTATACATAACCAAAAAAAAATAGTTTTTGCCTTATTTAGACAGTGTAATTTTTCCTTGCTCTCCGACTAGCAGAGGCGGATCCAGGATTTAAACCCTATGGATTCAATTTTTAAGATTCTTAACACTGAAGCCATTATAATTCTAAAGTTATGGATTCGTATCCACTATTTATTTTAATTTTAATATATTTTACATATAAATTTATGCTCTACGTTGAAAGTTATGGGTTCAATTGAACCCATACTTATGGTGCTAGATTCGCGCCTCTGACAACTAGCTCTGTCCTGCTTAAAAGTGGTTGGGGGGGGGGGG